TTTTCCACGACATTCTAATTTATTGAGATGCACCTGTATATACACAATAGTACGGTATAAGCAAAGCGTTTAGTAATGAGATATGGTGTATTATGTATTTGACATGTTGTTTATTTATGAAATTGCTTCAGGTTTGATGGGATATACAGTACAAGCACAATGTAATGAATACTGGCACTATTGACAACATACACACATATAAACAAATTAACATAGATGCAATAGAATCACAGACAATTTAATATAACATCAACCATCATATAATTGTAGCTGTAATGACAGACAAACAATGTTCAGCTTGCAAACCGTAACCTGCAGCTTCAGGTCATTTTGAGCAGCCAATTTCCTTTTAGTGCACATAAAGTGCTGCAATGTTTGAATTAAAGGAACAGAAAAAAAATATTTTATAAAAATGCAACACATTTAAAAGCATCACAGGAATAAATTACATTTGAAAATATATTCAAATAGAAAAGTTATTTTAAATTGTAATAATATTTACATTTAGCAGACGCTTTTATCCAAAGCGACTTTCAAATGAGGACAATAGAAGCAATCAAAATCAACAAAAGAGCAATGATATACAAGTGCTATAACAAGTCTCAGTTAGCTTAATGCCGTACACGTAGCAAGGTTTTTTTTAAATCATATAATAAATAAAAAGAAAACAGATAGAATAGAAAAGAAAAAGAATAGTGCAAGCTAGTGTTAGAGGCCTTTTTTGCTTTTGTTAATTGCATAATAAATAAAAAGAAAACAGATAGAATACAAAAAGATTAGAGAAGCTAGTGTTAGTTTTTTTTTATGAAAACAAGCAGTTAGTAAACAAATAGAGTGCAAGCTTAAAAGGGGCAAGTTTTTTTTTAATAAAGAATAGAATTAAAATAGAGTACTAGAGTTAGAGGGTCAAAATTTTAATTTCACAATATTACTCTTTTTACTGTATTTTTAATCACACAAAAGCAGCCTTGATGAGCCTAAGAGACTTAATTCAGAGACTTAATTGTGTTTCTTTATTTATTTACTTGGGTGAATTATGTAAATGATGCATCGAAAAATTAATCGATACTTACCTCATTCCCTTGATTAGCTCCAACTGTTTGAGCCAAAGGCACATTGGTTTCAGGCTCACTTCTGTCTGCACTCCGTGTGTCTTTCTGTTCTTTTTTGTCCACAGTAGATGCAGTTTTCTCTTTTTCCTCAGCTTTCACTTCAGGCTCTGCATTTTCCTTTGTACCAGGTTCCACCTCCTCTGTCCGCTGCTGAAAATCAGTCTCATCATCGCTGGACATGTTACCTGCAGCACGCACAGTCTCTACTCTCTGAGTCTCTCTGGGAATGCCAGAAAATTCCTGTCGGAGTTCCATGCTTCTGTCCTCCTGTCTGTTTTGTGGGGCAAGAGCATCTCCTGCCCTGATGCCCTGGTCACCTGCTTGGTCTACTCTGTTTCTATTGTCCTGGTGCAACTGCAGTGGCTGTGGAGCGTCACCCCCTTCCCAAGCTTCCTCATGCTCCCTTAGTTGAGGAGCTTGGCGCTGTCCTACAGCAGAAGGCGGCGGGTCAAAAGCTTCTGGATCTCCACCAGCGACTGCTTGGACAGCTTCACCTCAGCGTCATAATGCATGCATGTCTGTCCATCATCAGGCTAAAGATTTAAAAAAAAGGAAAAGTTGTAAAACCGTAACCAATGTAGATTCATGTTGAATCAGTTCCCTGGAGAAAACACAGTCAGTCACATACCAGGCCAAGTTTTGAAGTTTCTTTAAGGAGCCTGGAAAGGAATCGCTTGAATACTGGAAGACACACTGGATTTATAGAGGTGGTGGTCTCCTTCTTTTTCTGTTCATCAAACTAAAAACACAGCAAGAAATAATAATATATTTTCAGTCATTCAAAGTGCTGAATGGTACAATACTACATTTACATTAGTCATTTAGCAGACGCTTTTATCCAATCCGACTTACAAATGAAGACAATAGAAGCAATCAAAACCAACAAAAGGGCAATAATATGTAAGTGCTGTGACAAGTCTCGGTTAGCCTAACACAGTACATGTAGCAAGGTTTTAGGTTTTTTTTTAATAATAAATCAAATGAAACGGTAGTATTAGAGGGTCTTTTTTTATGAAAATAAAATGTCAAAAGAATAGAAAAAGAATAGAGAATGCTAGAGTTAGAGGGTCTTTTTATTATGAGAATACAATAGTAAGAATAGAAAAAGATTAGAGAGTGCAAGTGTTAGAGGGTCAAGGTTTTTTTTTTTTTTAGAATTAGAATAGAGAGTGCTAGAGTTAGAGGGTCAAATGAAGATGGAAGAGATGTGTCTTTAGCCATTTCTTGAAGATGGCTAAGGACTCGGATTGAGTTGGGCAGGTCATTCCACCAGGAGGGAACAGTTAATGTTTACTAGTCTTCAGTACTTAAAAAATACCATGGTAATTTCATTGTACCATGTCCAAAAACATGGCATTACCATTTTGTTAGTGAAGCCTACTAAGGTATATTTCCATATTTCTCACCTCTTTTTGCAAAATCCCTAGTTTAATGGTGCAGTCAAACACATCAGGACACTGTTGCACTTCACAGGAGTCTGAGCTGAATTCCCTCCTCTTGGTTGGCACATTTGGGTAACTGGCAGACTGTTAAAAAACAACAACAACAAAAGTTATAATGTGAGGTAGATTTGTGTTCCCTGCAAAAATGACAGTGCTTACAAGAGCTTATGTGATAAAAAGACGAATCACACTTTGAGTTCAGTGAGCGAGCTGTTGACTCACTAACTGTGAATCAAACTGTCAGAAAGAAATGGTTTATCTGAGTTAAAGGGATAGTTCACCCAAAAATGAAAATTATTCCATCCTAGGTGCATACGAGTATGACTTTTTTTCTTTCAGATGAATCCAATCAGAGTTACATAAAAAAAATGACCTGGCTCTTCCAAGCTTTATAATGGCAGTGAGTGGGTGTTTCTTGTCAATAGTCTCCACACGGCACCGGGGGGTGAATAAAGGCCTCCTGAAGCAAATCAATGCGTTTTGTGCTGGAGGATTTTGATATAAGCCAAGAGGAGACTGGTTTTCCTTTGCTAAAGTAAGGGAACTTTGCTTCCTTTGCTCCTGTAAACAAAAGTCGGTTCTCGCGAGATTAGCATATTCTCACCAGACCTTAAGCTACGCCTACATCATCCGCCGGAATGAACGTGTGTGTGACAGTTAGCGGAAACTAGAGATTATGGTTTATAAAGTTTTAAATATGGATATTTTTCTTACAAAAACGTGATTTGCTTCAGGAGGCCTTGTTTAACCCTCAGAGCCGTGTGGAGCACATTTTATGATGGATGCACTTTATTGGACTATTGACAAGAAACACCCACTCACTGTCATTATAAAGCTTGGAAGAGCCAGGTCATTTTTTTTTTTAAAAATATTAAAAAATGATTTTTTTACACGGCACCCCTGCTCTCCACAGACGGCACCCCGGTTGGGAAACACTGATGTAGACTGAAGGTGAATAAATTATGGGGTAATTTTCATTTTTGGATGAACTATACCTTTAAAGTGCAATCACATCAACTATTGTTCTGCAAATCCCGGCATTTCAATAGGAATCCAGGTGATCTGGAATTTCACGTTTCCACAAGCAGATTTCGCAACGGGTTCAGGTAGATCATGTGAATACGTTGCGCTGACCAACAGAAAGTGACTTTGTAAGCTGTTCTTCATACACTGCTATACTATTAACAATAGACAATCAACCTTTTTTGCCCCCAAAATGTCTCTATGAGACTGCGCCTTTAAACTGAGTGTTTTTAAATGAGTTTTTCACTCAAGAACCTCTAATACCGATTAGCGAAAATAATTTAGTAGATTTGTGAACCAGTAAATTTTAGTAGATTTTGAACCACTTCAACAGATTAAATAAATAAAAATTTAAAAATTAAACACACGGGATTTAACAGTCTTAGCTAACTAACGGTCTTAGCTAACTAACGATCGTAATACAGTCTCATGAATGCGCAGTGAGCAAAGCAGACCACAGGAGTTACGCTAAATAATGGACCCTTTTCACAAGACTGTGATGACGCATTTAACGGTCATCAGCATCGTAAATCCTCGAAAGTTTTTCATATTTGTATTTTTTTTTAAATGTATGTACATTTATAACACTATTCTTTGTATTATATCACCTTTGCATCAAATTACAGAAAAAACAGTTAACGCTAATGCGAGGGTGTTTCTAATGCAGCGTCTATGGGAGGGACGGTAAATTTGACATCGTTCACTCTTCTGACAGCCTGTTATCAGTCTCTCTCAATTTATTTCCTTTTATTGAAAGTCATGAAAACACTATCGTGGAGTTTTTCTTTTGCTATTTGAGCAAATGGGAATGCAAAAAATATATTTGTGGTACTCTCCCATTCACTTTTTTTTTTTATTAATGCTCAATAACATAAAAACATTGTCAAGGAATTACATATCCAAACGACGAACAGCTCGGTACCTTCATAATCTCCACTGGAACAGACAACGAGAAAACTCAGACTTACTGGTAAAACTGCTGATCGATTATTAGTGTAAGTTAAATAAAAGTTAAGATTCAGCTTTCTTGGACACTGTTTATCATATGTTTACCAGATCATCTGTCTAGCCTACATTACTTTAAAATGTACTAAATGCATATATCGGCCGCATAAAAGTTACACACTGAATATATATATATATATATATATATATATATATATACACACACACACACATTTATGAAATATAAACAATAAAATAATAATAATGAAAACATTGTTGTAATTTTGATCAAATTAACTAAATGGTACATTTATGTACAGAACATTATAGTGATCATCTCATTACAGATTAGTTTTAGAACGAAAATGTAAAAAAAAAAAACGTAATGTAGAAGAATCAGTGAGCCATTCATCAGGCTAAATCTTATAGTTTCAAAACTGTGTTTATTTCCATGTTCAAATAAATTACTAATACATACTTTGTACATCAGGTGATTGAGAGAGTCCTCTAACTCAGTGGTTCCCAACCCTGGTCCTGGAGGCACCCCAGCACTGCACATTTTGCATGTCTCCTTTCTCTGACACCAATTTCAGGTCTTGGAGTCTCTAATGAGCTGATGATCTGAATCAGGTGTGTTTTATTAAGGAGACATGCAAAACATTCAGTGTCGGGGTGCCTCCAGCACCAGGGTTGGGAACCACTGCTCTAACTGTCCTCTGCATCAATACAAAAAGGTGCTGAATTTATGTGCAAACGTGATGCATATTATGCATATAAATATATGCATTAGGAAAATGACAATCCAAAATAAAAGCATTCCTAAAAATGCATGAAACTGTTTCCACCACACTGAGGAGGACGACTTGCACAAAACATTTATCCTCAGTATTTACAGAGTGTTGGTTCATTTACAGTTATTTAAATGAAGACATGAATATTCATGCTGCATAAACAGTTGCTGAATGTGTGAAGTCCATAGTGCTATGTGCTATACAATGATCTAATGCCTTGAGTTAGCATTTAAACCTATACAAAAGCTCCTATTTACAAGACAGAGAACATCACCTCAAGGCACAGTTCAGCTCACATTTTCAGGACTGTTTCGTTCAATTGAAATAGCAAAATACAGAAGCAATGCTACGCATGGCATTATTCGTGTTTGTAAGTTAAGAAACCTCATTCGTTTGTTAGTTTTTTTTTCTGAATTGCAATACATTTGACAATAAAGCTGTTTCTTCCAGTAGACATGCAATTCCAGATGTAGACATGACTAGAATGAACAGTCGGTTCTTTTGTTTTCTCTTGTGAGTGTACTGGAGTAAAGTTACAAAGAAATACAAACAGACACACACTGACACACACTGTCACTCTGATCTGTCCTTCTCAATCTGAGTGCAGGTTGTTTTTCTGTGCTCTTCCACATGGCTTCTGCTGTGGGTTAAGGCTGATACGCCCACAGTGTGACCGTCTTATCGGCTGAGGAGGACAGGAAGGACAGGTCTCTGGTGTGCCACCGGCACTGGATCACTTTATCAGCGTGTTCAGCGACCACAGTGACCGGCAGCGTTTTGGTGAGATCCCCTGGAGATAAACAGCGGAGTTTAACTCGCATAAAATGGCATTTGCAAATTTTACTTCCAGAATGTGACATAAAAAGTATAGTGAGATTTATATTATTATTATTATTATACTAACTGTTATTACTATGACTACTACTACTGCTACTACTATATTATTATTATTATTATTATAAATCCCACTGTACTAAAATAAAAAAAAATAAAATTGATTGTTGTTCAATAATATACAATTATATAATTATATAAAATAATAATATATATTTATTTGTTTTTAATATTGCAATGAATAATAATAATACAATTAAAAAATGTAAACAAAAATATGAGATGGCATTCATAAGCCAGGCATTATTTCTGTAATGTGACAAAGGAACAGTGGGATTTAATTTGATAATAATAATTATTATTATTATTAAAAGAGCTCACATTATTTATTTATTGAATTGTTTTTAAATTTTAATATAGTTATTATTATTATTATCATTATTATTGTTATTAACAATATTAAAACCATTTCATTAAAAAAAGCATTATAAGCATTATAATTTTAACACTATATCAATTATTAATATATATAATAATAATATTATTATTATTTTATTATTATTATTATAAAATAATAATAATAAAATTAAACGTTAATTCAGTGAAAATAACTGACTTTCATTTTTTTAATTGTGTAATAATAATTAATAATCAAATATAATAATAATAATTAATAATAATAGTAATAATTTAAAAGTCCAAAACCAATTTACTGAAAAAAGCTGATATGAAATGGCATTCACAAGCTATATTACATCTATAATGTGACAATTACTGTAATTTTGAGTGAAAATAATTTTTTTTTATTAATGCTTGATTAGATCAGTGGACTTATGACAGGTGGTTAGAGAGAGTGCTGACAAATAAGAAATAATGATGACATCATTTGTGGCGTGACCTACCTTGAAGGTCAGCGATCATGACTTTGTTGTCGTAGGAGCCGGTGAGCAGGTAGTGAGCACCAGGAGAGAAGCGCACAGAACGCACGTCGCTGGTGTGCGGCTGATACGCCTGGACGCTTCGACCTCCTCTGATGTCATAAAGCATGCAGCGACAGTCCTCCAATCCGGTGGCCATGAGCCGCCCACTGGGATCCACTGCCACCGAGGCCACAGCACTTCCTGTCACATGACACAATAATCTACAGTATATGATCATACCTCTGCGCAAAGACAGATTCAATAACAAAATACATGGACGGCATTCGATTATTATTGTTAGTGTTGTTATATTGCATTTATTTATTTGCATTGGTCTTTGTCACGTATATTGGTATACAATATTGGTATATTGTATTTAGTAGTTCTAATACTAATCATTGTTAGTATTATTATAATCATATAGTATTTTATTATTAGTAATAATGGTTGCTATTATTAGCACCATATAATATAGTTATATTAATATAATAATAATAATAATAATAAATGTTATTATTATTATTGTTGTTAGTTGTTATTTTATTTATTATCACATTAAAAAAATTATGTTTTATTATTTTATTTTTTTTGCATTGTCACTGAATTGGTTTTGAACTTTAATATTCTGTAAAACTAAGATTAATAGTATTCTGATTATTATTTTGTTATCATTATTATTTTTTTACATTGGTTTTTGTAACTGAACTGGTTTTTAAGTTTAAAATAGTTTAATAATTCTAAAATTAATATGAATACAATTATAATAATTATTCTTGTAGTCAATATTGTTAATTTTTTTTTATCAAATACTGTATTATTACACAGTATTACATTTCAAAATTAATTAAGTGAAAAGAACTGACATTATTTATTTATCTGTTTTATTTGCATCAGTTCTTTTCAATGAATCGGTCAAAATAATTTACAAAATGGTCTGAATTATTCATTGACAAATCACTCTGAATATGGTTTGAACGATCTCTAGAAATTTTTATCCCATAAATCACAAACAGCTAGGAAGGTCAAAAAAAACAAAACATGGGAACCGTGATGTTCCAAATAAAGCCTTGTAAAGGAGCAGAGAGGAAACACACACCTGTTCCATGCTGGGCCGTCCCAACCACCTTCACACAGCTGGGCACACGCAGGTCCCAAAACCTCACTGTCTTATCCTGAGAGCCGGAGGCGATCATCCACCCGCCCCACGTGTACAGAGACAGGATGTGTCCTGCAACGGCATGTCAGATCATACAACACAACATGACATCCTGTTCATACATGAAGAGGATTGTGTGTGTGTGTGTGTGTGTGTGTGTGTGTGTGTACCTGTGTGTCCACTGAGCGCGTGCAGCCCCTGTCCTCTCTGGCAGTCAGTGGTGTAGATGTTACAGTCTCCAGCCCCAGCACTGATCAGGATGGCCCCTCCGCTCCCAGGACCCTCCATAAACGCCAGGTCTCTGATGGTGCCGTCATGCATGCTGAACTCTAGATCTGGACCTGCAGTCCACACACACACACACACACACACACATCTGGTTCACTATCCTTGTGGGGACTCTCCATAGGCATAATGTTTCTTCTACTGTACAAACCGTATATTCTATCGTCCTACACCTAAACCTTCCCTCCCCACAGAAAACCCCTGCATTTTTACATTCTCAAAAACTCATTCTGTATGATTTATGAGCTTGTTTCCCCATGGGGACCTCAATTTGAGTCCCCATGAGTCGGTGTGTATTCAGGTTTAAGTCCCCACCAGGATAGAAAAGTGTACACACACACACACCTTATCATTTATATATTTCATTAAGTGCAATTAATAAAATTCTAAAAAGGTAAATATGTTAGATATAAAGTCACACACTTTAAATAGAATGTATAGATTATAATTTAATTAATTTAATATATAATGTATTTATATTTATATATTATTTAATTATATTAATTTAATATATATTTAAATTATATATTGTATATATATATATATATATATATAAATGTT